CTGGGGATTCGAACCTGCCACCTTAGGTGTACGTGGCTGGCGCCTTAGCCGGTTGAGCTATAGGCGCTGAGCCGAGGCTCTGTCTTAAAAATAAATTAAAAAATATATATTTCCCTTTCATGGTTTATAAATATATTATGTAAATCAATCATCATTTGGTATTACTGCTTTAAGTAAATCAGTTCAATAAATTCAGCAACAGGCTGAGTTTGAGGTTGCTGTGAGCTGTGATGGCACAGCACTCTACCCAGGGTGACATAGTGAGACTCTGTCTCAAAAAAGAATAAAAATAAATTCAGCAACAATTTATCAAGGATTTCATATATATCGGGAACGTAAGTTCTTAACTTTGTAAGTTAAAGTCCTTATATACCAGAGTTGTTATGTCATAGCTGTTAGAAGATTAAAATTGAGCAGCTATTTATTTTACCAGAGGGTTTATTGTTAAATTTTTAAAAATAGACAATTTATGACTTCGCTTTCATTAAAACATGTGGGGTTCAGAGTCCAAATCCTACACAAAAAAATAAGTCTCATAACCAAGATCCCTGTTTTATACAGGGTCACACACTACTCTACAACTGTATTATGAATCCCTCTGAATCTTCCTTAGGAATTTTTTTTTTGAGACAGAGTTTCCAGCTGTCACCCTGGGTAGAGGGCTGTGGTGTCACAGCTTACAGCAACCTCAAACTCTTGGGCATAAGCGATTCTCTTGCCTCAGCTACTTTTTCCTGTTGCAGTTGTCACTGAGGTTAACCAGGCCTGGGCTGGGTTTGAACCCGCCAGCCTTGGTGTATGTGGCTGGCACCCTACCGCCGAGCTATGGACACCGCCCTGACTTAAGAATTTATCACACGTAAATTTACTGAAAAGCCATCAGTTTTATCAAGGTCTTTAAAGATAGAGCCTTATTACTTCTTTTTAGGAGCTCTACTTTAAAAATGAGTTTAGAACTGAATCAAATTAAGCACAATACCTCATTGCTAGTCAATAATTGATAGCCCTTATAAACAGGAGCATGCAAACCATGTTATGAGGCTGACGCAAGACCATCTCACTCTCAGTGACCTTGTGAAAGCATTTAATTCATTTTTGAATATGTTAAGATGTGCAAAAAAATGAAATTCTAAATATTTGGGTTAATTTGTGGGCACATTTCCTTAGAGAAGGCCCATTCTCATGTCCCAACTTCATATTTGTTGTTTCTCAGGTTGTTTCTGGGGTAATGTACATTTTTCTAAGATAAGAGCAATTAGTAAGTTAAAATAAATTTTTATTTATTTATTTTTTTGAGACAGAGTCTCACTATGTCGCCATGGGTAGAGTGCTGTGGCATCACAGCTCACAACAACCTCCAACTCTTGGGCTTAAGCAATTCTCTTGCCTGAGCCTCCCAAGTATCTGAGACTACAGGTGCCTGCCACAAGGCCCGGCTATTTTTGTTGTTGTTGTTGTAGCTGTCATTGTCGTTTGGCAGGCCCAGGCTGGGTTAAAACCTGCCAGCTCTGGTGTATGTGGCTGGCACCCTAGCTGCTGAGCTACAGGTGCCGAGCCAAAGAAAAAATTTTTTTTTGCAGTTTTTGGCTGGGGCTGGGTTTGAACCGACCACCTCTGACATATGGGGCCGGTGCACTACTCTTTTGAGCCACAGGCGCCACCTCCCCCCCCTCGATTTTTTTAAAATTAACTATCCTAACACCACATGCTCAAAATTCAGTATGATTTTTATTTTACTTGCTTATCATGTTTTCTCAAGATTTACTCTTTTGTTTGGTTGTTTTGAGAGTCTCACTCTATCATCCTGGGTAGAATCGATCCTCTTGCCTCAGCCTCCTGAGTACCTAGGGCTACAAGCATCCAACACAATGCCCAGCTAGTTTTTCTACTTTAAAACATTTTTTTTGAGACAAGAGTTTTATTTTGTTGCCCTTAGTAAAATGCCATAGTGTCACAGGTCACAGCAACCTCAAACTCTGGGGCTCAAGTAGCTGGGACTAGAGGCACCCGCCACAATACTTGGCTGTTTTTCAGAGACAGGGCTTTGCTGTGCCTCAGGCTGGTCTCAAACTCCTGAGCTCAGGCCATCTACCTGCCTCACCCTCCCCATGTGCTAAGATTACAGGTGTGAGCTACCATGTGGCCTCAAGGTATACTCTTAAATTTTAGATCTTCTCTGAGATCTTACTTTAAGTGGGATTTCAGCTGAGTGCTAGCTAGTAGTACAGACTCTGAGGCTGGACTACAAGCACTCAGGCCTCCACTCTACCACTTCTGAGCTCTATAAACACTCATGCCTTGGGATTACACGACCTGTAAAAGTCACCAGGGGATGAGAGTAAATGAGGGAACCCACATGAAATGTTGACAACAGCGCTTTGCACACATTAGTGCCTAATTACAGCTCATCTTCTCATTTTATTCTTTTTCGGGATCTAAGTCTAGACTTTTCCCACGAGGCCCTGGCTTCATCCCGCCAGGATGATGAGAAGTATCTATGGGGATGTAAAACATTCCAACATGTTTATGGGATGTGATGTATTGTATTCATTCTGAAAGCAAAATTTTTCATCAGTTGTTTCCCATAGATCATTTTGTAACTTCCCGTAACCAGGGTCACAAATTTCAGTTCCATGAAGAGAATTTAGAACTAAAAGCACATGCACATTGTAGATATATACCTTATCACATTTCATATTTACATTTCTAGAAAAGGAGCTATACCTTTAGCATTAACAGTCCACTTAATGGACAAGTGCAATACTTGTATTTAAGTGGGGCAATCACAGCCTCGTTGTAGCATACAGACTCTAGGAAACCTGTTGAAGGAAACCTTCTTATCACCACCCATATCATAGTTTAATGAGGGCAACAGCTTGATTGCTAATTCTTTTTTTTTTTTTTTTTTTTT